TTTTGAAGGCAGACTGACTGATTTCCTCCCGCTGGGCTGCAAGCGGAATATTTGACACCCATTGTGGCCCCATGAGCTGCATCACTGATGTCAGCCCAACATAGACTCATAGATACCTCAACAGCAAATACTTACTTTATACAAAGGATGATAAAGTAATATTCTGTGGTTTTTGATGAATTCTAAACTGTGGGCAAATATATTCAAATTCTATGAAACCAGAGTAGATTAAATATGTAACAGTTGACCAAGAATTATACCACCGAAGTGATGAATTCATTACTGTATAATACTTGAACCATTTAGAAAGTAATGAACCAAACTCTGAGTCAGGTGCAGAGCTGCACCCAAACACTGAAGTGGTGGTTTACTTATAGTTAATCTCTGTCAGCAGTAACTGTAGCAGGAGCTATACTCTACGACAGCCACCTAGAAGTCTGAAGTTCCAGCTTACGTTAGGATACTCAGAGGAACTCACTTAGCTGACTTGTTCAGGTTGAGGCTGTCCAACAAACAACATGACTGCAAGCTGTCTGTATGACAGGAGAGTGGCACTTGAAACATTGGTGCATAATTAAAAAGTTTATATTCTAGAGAACATTTTCACAAACATAGTTGTGGCATGTATAATTATAGACAAAGGTGGATCACCTTTTATCAGAATGTAATCTGTTGAGAATTCTGAAAACACATTTCTGACTTTCAGCCTTCCCTGCTTTCCTTCATTGCCAGAAAAGTCTCCAGATAATCATAGATATTATTTTGATTACATTCTTTCTTTACTCCCATGCCATGCTTACCTGGCAGAAGTTAGAACTGAACACAAGAACAGCATGTTTTACCATTTCTGCTGTTAGTACAGGGGTATCTGTGCAGCACAGCATGGGCCCAGGTAGGTTGAAATAGTACAGGGGTATCTGTGCAGCACAGCATGGGCTCAGGCAGGCCACAGTAGTACAGGCGTATTTGTGCAGCACAGCATGGACTCAGGCAGGCCACAGTAGTACAGGGGTATCTGTGCAGCACAGCATGGGCTCAGGCAGGCCACAGTAGTACAGGGGTATCTGTGCAGCAGAGCATGGGCTCAGGCAGGCCACAGTAGTAGAGGGGTATCTGTGCAGCACAGCATGGGCTCAGGCAGGCCACAGTAGTACAGGGGTATCTGTGCAGCACAGCATGGGCTCAGGCAGGCCACAGTAATACAGGGGTATCTGTGCAGCACAGCATGGGCTCAGGCAGGCCACAGTAGTACAGGGGTATCTGTGCAGCACAGCATGGGCTCAGGCAGGTTTATATAGTACAGTGGTATCTATGCAGCACAGCATGGGCTCAGGCAGGTTTATATAGTACAGTGGTATCTATGCAGCACAGCATGGGCTCGTACAGATTGAAATAGTACAGGGGTATTTGTGCAGCACAGCATGGGCTCGTGCAGATTGAAATAGTACAGGCGTATTTGTGCAGCATAGCATGGGCTCGTGCAGACTGAAATAGTACAGAGGTATCTGTGCAGCACAGCATGGGCCCAGGCAGGCCACATAGTACATAGGTATCTGTGCAGCACAGCATGGGCCCAGGCAGGCCACATAGTACAGGGGTATCTGTGCAGCACAGCATGGGCTCGTGCAGATTGAAATAGTACAGGGGTGTCTGTGCAGCATAGCATGGGCTCGTTCAGATTGAAATAGTACAGGGGTATCTGTGCAGCACAGCGTGGGCTCAGGCAGGTTGAAAAGCAGCTCTTTGACTGTGATGTTGTCCCCTCCCTTTTTCCCCTTCATACCCCACCCAGCATTGTTTTGTTTTATAGTTTGCTTATTTTGTTGTTGCATCTTCTTGTGACCTTTCACCTTAAGAAATTGTCATGTGACTAATGTTTGCAGCATGTTTATGGCCAAATGAATAATTTTCCTGCATGCTAAATAATTGATGTTTATTAACCTGTTTGTTTATGTTTGTTGACTGCCAAAATTTGAATGGTGCTCAATTTACAGAAAGCTTTCATTTAAACTTGACCATCTTTAATACAACACATAAATGTTTTGACTATCATGGTAATACATATGGAAGTAGTTTTCATATAAGATATGGCTTATTTCACTGTTAACAATTTACAAACATGTGTGTGGTACAATGGAGGGGGGGGGGGGGGGGGGGGGGGCATGTCAAATGTCTAAGAATAGACAAGCGTGTGAAACAAAAGTTATGCATCATCATCATGTACCCTGCTCATGCATCTCCCCAGATCACGATCCTAGGTTGCCTGGAACAGCTCTCTTGATGATTTCCCTCCATGCCATTGTTTCAGCCCATCCAGCATAATCTTTCTTGGTCTGCCTCTACCCCTCTTTTCACTGATCTTTCCAGTTGTCACGATGTTTTCCAATGCCCCTCTTCTCATTATGTGACCAAAGAACAGTGTTTGTCTCCTTCTTATTGTTGTATTTAGAGATCTGCTTTCATTAGCTTCTTTCAAACAATCGTTGTTAGTTATTCTAGCCATCCAAGGTATTCCTAACATACATCTCAGAAATCACAACTCTGTTGCTTCCAAAATCTTCTTAATTTGTTCATTGACATTTCAAGATTCGCTGCCGTACAGCAGAACAGGTTCTCTGTAACATTTTAGCACTTCCTTGCTTATATTAAATGGCAGTGACTTATTGTGTAAGATATTTTTTTAATTTTTCTGAAAGGCTGCCTTCGTTTGGCTTATTCTGCTTTTAATCTCTGTCCCACATTTTCCATCTGATGATACGATTGTTTCCAGATATTTGAACTTATTTACTTGGTAAAGTCTTTTTCCTTCAGTTGAGATATCACAGTGTGGTGTTATCTTCTTCTTTGATATAACCATTACTTCTTAATATTCAAGTAAAGTCCTTTCTTAGCACTCTCCATCCCCACAATATCCAGCAGTTGTTGTAAATCAGTTGCAGTTTCAGCTAACAAAACTTTTTCTGCATAGCACAGATTGTTCCAACTCTTATTCCTACTTTCTCTTTAATTTCCCTCAGAATTACTTCACTATATAGAGAGAAAAGGTCTGGGGATAACACACATCCCTGTATTAGATAAATCTGTTCAAAAGTACACAATCTGTTTCCCACAATAATTGCAGCTACTTGGTTCCAGTAAATGTTTTTAATTATTCTGAGATCTTACCTGTCAACATTGATGTCTTCCAATATTTTTATCATCCTTTCATGTTTAATTTTGTCAAATGCTTTGGTATAATCTATAAAGCACAAATATAAGTCCTTATGTATGTCCACTGATCTTTCTATCAGTGTTCATAATATGTATATTGCATTACTTGTCCCTTTACCTTCCATAAATCCATACTGCTCTTCACTCATTTCCATTCTTATTTTTCTTCTTGTTCTTCTCATTATAATTCTAAGTAGTAATTTGGTGACATGACTGATTAAGTTTATTGTAAAAAATTCTTCATATCCAGTTGCTCCTGGTCTTTTGGGTAAAACAATAAGTACAAATTTCATCATATCACTTGGCATGTACCCATTGTTATGAATGTCATTAATCAGTTTGGTTAATTTTTCTACTAAAATTCCATCTGGCCCGGCTGACTTTCCTTTTTTCATATGTTTAATAACATTGCTGATTTCTTCCTTTAGTATAGGTGAACCTTCTGCATTTCTTTCTTCTGATAATTCTGCTCTCTTTCCATCATATAGCTCTCTTATGTATTCATTCCATCTAGTTATTATATTATCTTCCTCCATTAAGATCTCTCCTGCTTTTGATTTCAGACATCCTGTGTTTACTCATATCTTTATTCCAGTTAGAATGATAATTTGTTTGTGCGCACTTTTTGCTTCTTTAATAAAAAATACATAATACAAAAGCATTTGACTGTGTGAAGCATGAAGAAGTAATCAAACTGTTAGAAAAATTAAACATTGATGGAAAAGATCTATGAAAAATAAAGAATATGTATTGGCAGCAAACAGCAGCTATAATAAAACAACTGTTTAGGTACATTTCAAAGCATGAAGAGGGGCGTACGACAAGGATGTGTACTATCAAGTGGAAGAATGGGCCTCAGTTTGAATAATGGTTAGACAGAAGTAATGGTGGTATCAAAGAAACAAATTATTCCTAAATGTGTAATAAGAGTCGATGGTGTTTTTTTAGGACAAGTACAGAAATTTAAGTATCTGGGCACATGGATAACATCAGATGAAAGATGCATAACTGAAATAAGAAACAGAATAGGACAGGCAAAAATTGCATTTTATAAAATGAAGAATATCTTGTGCAATATATCCTTGTCATTGAAAGTTAGAAAAAGAATTCTTGCTTGCTACATACATCCAGTTTTAACATATGGCTGAGAATCCTGGACAATCGATAGGCAGGCCAAACAATTTCTTGATGCCTCAGAGATGAGGTTTTACAGAAGAATGCTTAGAATACCTTGGACAGCCAAAAAGAGCAACAAAGAGGTTTTGAAAGAGGCGGGAGCTCGAAGATAACTTATCACAGACATCAGAAGGAGACAGTCATCATTTTTAAGCCATGTTATGAGAAGAGGGAAAATTGAACATGTTGTGACCACTGGAAAGATCTGTGGAAGGAGTGATAGAGGAAGACAATGAGAGAAGATTGTTGACAGTTTTGTTGCATGGCATGGAAGTGTGTCGCCACACGAACTGATACGTGCTGCAGGAGATCGTGGATTATGGAGAGGCATGATCACCCATGCCAGCCGGCAAGACACCTGATGATGATGATGAATAGAACTGTATTAAATTTTATTGCATTGTTCATTTAGCCAGTCTTCTTTTGCATTCATACACTTATGCCTTATTTTTTTTTTATCTTGTCTTATTCTTCTTTGTCATGCATACATTGTTTTCTGTCAGTTATACAAATTTAGCAAATAAAGAACCCAAGGGTTTATAGACAAATTCTAAAGAAATACTATAAATGTTTATGCTCTAAAAGATGACTGGATGTTATGTATACTCTAACAGACGTCATATGACTCACTGATTGTGGCATCCATCTACCAGCTTTCACTCAAGTTAAAAACATCTACAGATAAAACTTTGAGCATGTTAAGGTAAGCGTAACAGACAATTGTTGAATTGTCCATCTGATCACAGATTGTAACACAGACTTCACAATCCATCTTGGAATGTTTGTGATTTTCAGATGATTTGCCTCCATAAAGGCATCTTGCAGTAAATGTAATCTTCTTTGCCTGCCTGTTTATAGTTAGGGTGACATTTTGTTCACCTCTGCTGGACAAAAAGGTCATGATTTCAAAATGTTAGCATGTCTGGCCTTTTGCCCAGACAAATAGGTTACTGACCTTTCAGTCTGGATATGTAAGTTCTAGTCTTTGGATTAGGCAAAACCAAAGATGAAATCAAACATCTGAACCTGTATACTGTTTGCTGGGGCAAGTGACCTTTCACACCTTTCAGTTCAAAGATACACATAACTCTGTAATTTACTCTGCCCCTTGAGTCCCACCTGCCTATTGTGTTCTTTTACATTTGATAAATTTAGTTCATGTTTTAAAGAAAACAAATCTGGCTATCCTAGTGTTTGCTTTCATAAAATACTAGCTGTGCCCTGCCGCTCGTTGCTGTGGCCCTAAATGGTGAAATGTCAAAACCCTCACCCCTCCACCCAGTCATATCTCCCTCTCCAAAGGATTGAAAAATCATCCCTGGCGAAAGTATTAAAATAGAAATAGTTAAGAAATGAGAACTTGAAAATATTGTTTTAAGCTCTCTCAGCTAACAGCGTCTGGCATAAACCCCCCCCCCCCCCCCCCTCCCCAAATAAAATTGCCCTCTCCGAAGGAATAAAAAAATTATCACTTGACAAAATTATTAAAATAGAAATAGTTAGTGCAGGTCAGTGTAGCCAGAGGAGTTAGCGCTGCATGTTGTCGCCGCTGACTGTTTAGTGTAATTAGCTCCCAAAAAAGAAAAAGAAAAAAAAAAACTCCATCCCCTAACCAGTGATGGAACCTATAGTTATAGTCCGTTCTATACTCACAAATAGCAGAAATAAAAAAAACCACCCGTCATCTCCCCTCTCTGAAGGGACGAATGTTAAATGACCTTGGCATCCGTGTCCACCCAAAGTAAACTGGTCAGTCTTAGTTAACAGCTTTTGTCATCAACGAATAGTTTATGATTGAGTGAAGCGTCGCTGGGAGGATAAATGGGACTTTACTGAAATTGGATGTCTTCGGGCGAAGTGCAGATATCGCAGCCTAGCTGTAAACCACAACACAACATGCCAGCCGCTTAGTTAAGGGCCATTGAAAAATATACAACTACGCTACCAAGGACTCGAGCATCTCCCTCTCCGAATGATTGAAACATTATTATGTGGCGACATTGTTAAAATGAAAATAGTTAAGAAATAAGAACGTTAAAATAATATTTTTTAGCTCTCTCAGTTAACAGTGTCTGGCATCAACCGACCCCCCCCCCCCCCCACCCCTCCCCTTTCAGTGACAATCATATCATCCACTACGAAGTATGGGAAAGTCAGTGCCTGACGAAATATTGTTTTTAAATTGAGCTTGGCATCCGTGTCCACCCAGACAAAAATGGGTAGCATTAATCTGTACTGAGAAGTACATGTGGCCAGTGTAACAGCTACTAGGCTAGCTGGAAACCCCAAATTCGAACGAAAAAAAACACGTAGATATTGCAGCCTTAGTATAAACCACAAAAAAACATGGCAGCCACCCAGTTAGGGGTGTACAAAAAATTATATCACCCAGCGGGGAATCGAACCACTATCACCCGAGTAAAAAACAAAGTGCTTACAATTAACTACGCTACTAAATATTAAAGCATTTAATAGAAATGAAAGTGTATAATAATTATGTGAAGTTTGGTGTTACAGTCAAGATGGCCAATTGATTAAAAACAAATCCGGGCAGGCAACGAAACAAATAATGATTTGACCGTTGCTGGAGCTACGTCGATCGTGGTTTGTGCGATTTTATTACAAAAGAGGGTCAGAGGCAACAGTGTGTAAAAATCTGAAAGCAATCTGTTCAGTAATTTCCGAGTTTAGGAAAAACGACACCGGAAAATTAATATTTTTATTAATATAGATTTGGTCTCTTTAAAAGTAATGCCCTTGGTTTTTTTTCACAATTTTTATTTGTCAGTTGTTTATCAGTTTGCAAAACCTGCTTCACCTGACCCAGTTAAGCTTGAGTTTTGAGGTTTGAACAACGGATCAACATTATGGCACACAGTTAGTAATCCATAAGTGCTCCATTCTTCTTCTAACTTAAGTCTAAGTTCGAAGAAGCTCAGCACAGTGCGCAGGCTGTGTAGCACAGGCGAGGATCCTGAAATAATTTGGGTAGAATTTTAACTCCAAATTTTGCCTAGACAGCGCTGTTAGGCTACTTTTTTACATTTCCAACTGCCAAGGCATTTTTTTACATGCACAACAATGCACACGAATGTCCGATCTCACTACCCTGAGACCAGGGGGAATTACTAAAAGTCTACGTGAAAGATTCCCAGCCCTTACCGGGGATTGAAACCGGAACCTCTAGCACTTGAGGCGGACACCATGCCTTGAGACACCCAGCCCCCACAAATTTAAGCTTCAGCTTCTCACTGCTCCTGGCGATCCCAGCAATGGTATAGATGCTGACTAGATAGGTGGGTTTTAAAGTATGTAGTGATTGTTTTCATTGTAACTTCTCACCCAGAACACAATCATGAAGACCTCATCAGCCTCTTCACAAGACAGCAACAGACCATTATATTTAGACTGCAGACTGGATACAACAAACTCCACAACCATATGTACAAGAAAAACAAACTTACACATTTTCCCCTTCCACTTATATTAATGTCATATGAATGTGTACAACCAGGGAAGTCTGAAATGAAATCCACTATCCAGGAATAGTGGATGAAGCATGGCTTCTGTTTTTTAAGTTTACCATCTGTCAGTATAGCATGTTAACTGTGTAGTGTTTGCTGGAAGGTTTTGGGCACTGAGCTGCTTTCTTTCTCTGGCAGTCATCCTTAGTTGATTGGCCAAGTATTTTTGCAAGCAGTCAGATTGTGATTAAAGCAAGTTCTGACTGCTTAGTTACATATTTTTGTAAGACCAGCCTGACCAGTGCTGTAACAGTGATGCAAGTAAAGACAGGGATATTTCTAGTTTTTGCTTTCTCTCTTCTAAACTGTCACTGTTTGTTTCATCGTGACAGCATAGGCCACCTTCATAGTTTAGATAAGTCAAGCTATGAGCCTTGGGCTACATCACTACGTCTGTCATCTCAGATCTTGGTAAATTAAGAAAGTGTTGCAGGCATTACATAAAACAAATTCTAAACCACAACACATAGATAAAATGGCTGGCAAATGGAGTGCAGCAACACTGTCAACTGGCAGAAAATGGTGCCACTGAATCTACAAAATATTTGCAGGGAGCAGAATCGCTAGTCTGACACCGCTTCACAGAATATTCAATGCAGCATGGGTACAACAAACGGCCCCTATTGATTGGCAACATGCAATAGTTATACCATTGTGGAAGAACAAAGGAAGCAAACGAGAATGCGGTCAATATCGAGGCATCTCTCTTTTAAGCCATGTTGGCAAAATGTATGCCAAGATAATAGAAACAAGACTGAGACCAGTGATAGAACCACAGCTGGCAGAAGAACAGATGGGATTTAGGAGAAATAGAAGCTGCACAGATGCAATCTTCACACTTAAACAGTTAATAGAAAAGAACATTGAAAACAATAAGAACTTATTTGTGGCATTCGTAGACCAGGAGAAGGCATTTGAGAGAGTCGACAGACAATTATTATGGAAAATAATGGCAAGATATGGAGTAAGCGAACACCTCATCGAAGTGTGCAAAAGTTTATACAGGGATTGTAGAAGTGTAGTTAGAATAAATCAGGGAACATCTCATCCTTTCACAGTAACATCGGGAGTAAGACAGGGGTGTGTCTTATCACCACTGCTGTTTATCACCTACATCTACAGTATATGCAAGAATGCCAAGCCCATGAATGAAGATCTTAGTAAGATCAACGAATTACTCTTTGCAGATGACCAGGCCTTGATAGCAGATACAGCCATGAAATTGCAACAACATCTAACATCCATGAATGAAGAATGTAAAACAAATAATATGAGAATCAACACTGAAAAGACAAAAGTAATGTCAATAGGAAAAAAGAAGACAGATCTAAACATAGCAATAGAATACAAAGGCATTAAACAGGCATCTGAGTTTAAATATCTGGGAACTACATTTACCGAAGATGTCCTTGGATAAAGAAATTGACATTAGATGCAGTAAAGCAAACCAAGTATTGGGACAGCTAGCCCCCCTCTTTCAGCATAAGACAATCCCAATCAGCACAAAAAGACATCTTATTCAAAGCATATTTATTCCAACTCTGTGCTACCAGTGCCAGACATGGTCACTCACAACAAACCATAAAAGAAAATTAGTAACCTCGGAAATGAGATGTCTGAGAAGGGCTGTAGGAGTGACCATAAGAGATAAGATCAGGAATGAGATCATAAGAGAACAAGTCGGCACAGAACTAATTCTGGATTACATACAAAGACAGCAAGTGAAATGTTTTGCCCACTTAGAGAGAATGCCTTGTGACACCATACCATACAAAGCATACATGGAAAGAGAAGTAGGACGTAGAGCACGGGGTAGACCAAGAACAAGATGGAAGGATAACATCAGAGAAACTCTACAACAGCACGATGTGCCTATGGTCGAGGCAGCCAGAAGAGCTAGAAACAGAACCTTATATCTCCCTCGACACCCACAGCGGTAAAAGAGGAAGTGAAGAAGAAGAATAAGATAGATTGTCACAGTCTTTTTTGTGTGGATTATAATCGCTGTCGCTTTATTCCTGGATACAATTTATAATGGAAATATTGGTTGCATAAGGAGCGTTCATTTGAAACCCGTTCCAGTGACTTCATTACAAAAGCATGAAAGAAACAACAGTTTTGGCAGAATGAAACAAAGCATTCATTTTGAACAAATTATGCACTGTGTGTTGGTCAGAAGAAGTTCTGATAGGCAAGCATCCCATTACTTAAGTATGCGGCGAATGCTGTCTACAAAAAAGGATTGTGGTTACTCACTGATCCAAGTGTTTGCTACATTCATTATGTCTGCTTCTTTGTTAAATCATTGCCCCTTGAGATGTTTTGTTGTTGTTGTTTAAAGGTCTACTAAAGAAATTGAAATCACATGGTGACAAATCAGGACTATAAGTTGGCAGACAAGCATTATCATGCAGCAAAATCACACGGCCAGAAAGCATGCCAGGACGTTTATTCTTGATGGCTTTAAGCAGCCTGTCTAATTCCAAGTAGTGGGTATAGTTAACATCAGGTTCTTTAAAGTCTGCCAATAATAGCCCCTAATGGTCAAAAAGTGCACTTAGCGTAACCTTAATTGCAGAAACCTATGACTGGATTTGACTGTTGATGATCCAGCATTCTTCTACTGCATGATGTCTCTCTTCTGCTGCTCTGTTTGAAGTGCTCACCCAAGATTCATTGCCTGTCACTGTGCCAAGGAAACTGCATTACCTTTTCCTCTGTAATGCAATAAGTGGTTCAAAAACCATCCTCCGCATACTTACTTTTCATGATCAGTCAATGTCCATGGTACCCACTGTGAACACCTTCCAGTATTGCAGTTGCTAACAAACAACTTTTTGAACTGCGCCAACTGACAATCACATTAATTTGCTAGCAAACATGTAGTGAGAACAGGTCACCTGTAGTGCTGCATCAGTTTTGGCAATGGTTTTATTCTGTTAATTATGGGACCATAAGCACATGCTCTTTTTATTAATTGGTCAGTACTTATCACATGTATATAACATGTTTGCATTGTGTGACTTCTTGATATCAGCTGTTTAAGAAAAAAAAATCCTGATCATCGACCAATACAAACATGTGAAGGGGACTGCCCACCATGCCCCATTATGTTATAGTATAGCAGATGTGAAAGGGGACTGCCCACCATGCCCCATTAAGTTATGGTATAGCAGATGTGAAAGGGGACTGCCCACCACGCCCCATTATGTTATGGTATAGCAGATATGAAAGGGGACTGCCCACCACGCCCCATTATGTTATGTTATACCATATGTGAAGGGACTGCCCACCATGCCCCATTATGTTATGGTATAGCAGATGTGAAAGGGGACTGCCCACCACGCCCCATTATGTTATGGTATAGCAGATGTGAAAGGGGACTGCCCACCATGCCCCATTATGTTATGGTATAGCAGATGTGAAAGGGGACTGCCCACCATGCCCCATTATGTTATAGTATAGCAGATGTGAAAGGGGACTGCCCACCACACCCCATTATGTTATAGTATAGCAGATGTGAAAGGGGACTGCCCACCATGCCCCATTATGTTATAGTATAGCAGATGTGAAGGGGACTGCCCACCATGCCCCATTATGTTATAGTATAGCAGATGTGAAGGGACTGCCCACCATGCCCCATTATGTTATGGTATAGCAGATGTGAAAGGGGACTGCCCACCACACCCCATTATGTTATGGTATAGCAGACGTGAAGGATCACACTTGATGCCCTAATGACATGGTGCTAACTTGATCTTTCCCATTGTGAACTGGAGCACAGGTAGAAACCTAGTTAGCCGACTCTCTCTCAGATTGCCAACAGGCAAGGCATTTTTGGGTTCTTTGTTTATTGTGTCCTTGTCTCAGAATAGCGGACATTCCTGGGGATCATCACCAGAGTAACAGAGTTTGGGCTTTGAGTGACTCTCTCGGCAGGCGGCTCACAGTTCTTCTGAGAGAGAATAAGTCATTTGAGATCAAACAAATGCAATGAAATCTTCTATTTAACTTTAAATGGGGGGAAAAGGGGGGGGGGGGGGGGGGGGGGGGGGGGGGGGGGGGGGTGGGGGGGTGGGGGGGGGGGGGGGGGGGGAAGAGGCCATGAGACAAACTTTAAAATGTTTGAAAACAAATTTCAAGAACATTGAAAATTCATTATATAAATATTTGTACACATTTCACAATTATTCTTTTGGATTTTTGTGCAATAAAGACAAGATTCTCCATCTCCCATAAATTTTGCTAGGCCTTTGTTTATCTGCTGTTACATAACCCTTTTATAATGAGATCTGAAAACACCTACTTCATTTATTGTTTACAGTGATGAATGCAGTTATCTTCCCAGACATCGATGTCAAAAGTGAACTTTCGTCACACGTTCCCACAAGTCGGCAAGTCAAGCAGAAACTTCTGGAGGACATTGAGAAAAAGTTTGGTTTTCAGCCCATAGATCACCCTGACCTTGAAGAAAGTGACTTTGCTTCTCCGGAAATGGCAGAGTTTAGTGGGCACTTTTGACCATTCTTTATCATAGCCCCATCTCAAAGAACAATTTATCTCAAGCTGTGTGAGAAGCCATTATGCATTTTTACAAGCACATTCTTGTTTCTTTCTATGCTACAGCTGTGATTAGTAAATTATATTGTGTGCATTGTCTTCACATAGCCAGACTGTTGAGGTGGCGCACCAGGCAGAGACAGTTGTGTGTAATTAATGCTTCAATTGTTAGTTGTGCTAGAGTTTATGTTGGTGTGAATTTTTCATGTTGTTTAATAACTTCTTCATATTGTAAAGTGTTGCAGCTTGCTAACAGTCCTAGGTAAACTGACAGATTGAAGACTGGTTTGTTATCTGTCAGGTTGGTAAAACCATACAGGTAATATAGTATCAGGTGTTCCTTAAAATGATGTTGACATTTAGATATTAGGGTAGGTCCTGCGAGTTGTAGATGAGAGTAGAGTTACAGAGGTAGGTCCTGCAAGTTGTAGATGAGAGTTGAGTAACAGAGGTAGGTCCTACAAGTTGTAGATGAGAGTTGAGTAACAGAGGTAGGTCCTGCAAGTTGTAGATGAGAGTTGAGTAACAGAGGTAGGTCCTGCAAGTTGTAGATGAGAGTTGAGTAACAGAGGTAGGTTTTGCAAGTTGTAGATGAGAGTTGAGTAACAGAGGTAGGTCCTGCAAGTTGTAGATGAGAGTTGAGTAACAGAGGTAGGTCCTGCAAGTTGTAGATGAGAGTTGAGTAACAGAGGTAGGTCCTGCAAGTTGTAGATGAGAGTAGAGTTACAGAGGTAGGTCCTGCAAGTTGTAGATGAGAGTTGAGTAACAGAGGTAGGTCCTGCAAGTTGTAGATGAGAGTTGAGTAACAGAGGTAGGTCCTGCAAGTTGTAGATGAGAGTTGAGTAACAGAGGTAGGTCCTGCAAGTTGTAGATGAGTAGAGTTACAGAGGCAGATCCTGCAAGTTGTAGATGAGAGTTGAGTAGCAGAGGTAGGTCCTGCAAGTTGTAGATGAGAGTTGAGTAACAGAGGTAGGTCCTGCAAGTTGTAGATGGGAGTTGAGTAACAGAGGTAGGTCCTGCAAGTTGTAGATCTGAGTTGAGTAACAGAGGTAGGTCCTGCAAGTTGTAGATGGGAGTTGAGTAACAGAGGTAGGTCCTGCAAGTTGTAGATCTGAGTTGAGTAACAGAGGCAGGTTGTTCATATTTACCCACTATGACTGCAAGAGGAAAAAAACTGGCAAGTTACAACAGTGATCAGAATCCACTGCATATCACTGGGACTGGGTCAGTTATGTTAAGCCTACCCAAGTTCTCTGGTTAATGACTGTTGACCTGTTTGTTGGCTTAACGATGTTACTGTAATTTTATGCTTGAATGAGTTCATTGCATAATCTGAGCAGTTGTTGCTAAAAGTAGATATGTTAAGCTAAAGCATTCATCTTATGTAGACTTTTAATGAAGCATCAGTAGTCCTTGAACACTGACATGTGATAGACAAGTGTCAGAAGAGAAAACTAAGGAAGGTTTCTATTGGTTTGGCTACCTCATGTTACAGAAAACATTATCTGTAAAATCTAACCAATCAGAACAAGCTTTGCACATCACTGGAGGACACATGCAGAGACAGAAGGGATATAGTATCATGTTGGCACACGTGAGGTTGAAGATAGTGTTTGTATCTCTGGATAAATGCAGAGACAGAAGGGATATAGTATCATGTTGGCACACGTGAGGTTGAAGATAGTGTTTGTATCTCTGGACAAATGCAGAGACAGAAGGGATATAGTATCATGTTGGCACACGTGAGGTTGAAGATAGTGTTTGTATCTCTGGACAAATGCAGAGACAGAAGGGATATAGTATCATGTTGGCACGCATGAGGTTGAAGATAGTGTTTGTATGTCTGGATAAATGCAGAGACAGAAGGGATATAGTATCATGTTGGCACGCATGAGGTTGAAGATAGTGTTTGTATGTCTGGATAAATGCAGAGACAGAAGGGATATAGTATCATGTTGGCACACGTGAGGTTGAAGATAGTGTTTGTATGTCTGGATAAATGCAGAGACAGAAGGGATATAGTATCATGTTGGCACACGTGAGGTTGAAGATAGTGTTTGTATCTCTGGATAAATGCAGAGACAGAAGGGATATAGTATCATGTTGGCACACGTGAGGTTGAAGATAGTGTTTGTATGTCTGGATAAATGCAGAGACAGAAGGGATATAGTATCATGTTGGCACACGTGAGGTTGAAGATAGTGTTTGTATCTCTGGATAAATGCAGAGACAGAAGGGATATAGTATCATGTTGGCACGCATGAGGTTGAAGATAGTGTTTGTATGTCTGGATAAATGCAGAGACAGAAGGGATATAGTATCATGTTGGCACACGTGAGGTTGAAGATAGTGTTTGTATCTCTGGATAAATGCAGAGACAGAAGGGGATATAGTATCATGTTGGCACGCATGAGGTTGAAGATAGTGTTTGTATGTCTGGATAAATGCAGAGACAGAAGGGATATAGTATCATGTTGGCACACGTGAGGTTGAAGATAGTGTTTGTATCTCTGGATAAATGCAGAGACAGAAGGGATATAGTATCATGTTGGCACGCATGAGGTTGAAGATAGTGTTTGTATGTCTGGATAAATGCAGAGACAGAAGGGATATAGTATCATGTTGGCACACATGAGGTTGAAGATAGTGTTTGTATGTCTGGATAAATGCAGAGACAGAAGGGATATAGTATCATGTTGGCACGCATGAGGTTGAAGATAGTGTTTGTATCTCTGGACAAATGCAGAGACAGAAGGGATATAGTATCATGTTGGCACACGTGAGGTTGAAGATAGTGTTTGTATCTCTGGATAAATGCAGAGACAGAAGGGATATAGTATCATGTTGGCACACATGAGGTTGAAGATAGTGTTTGTATCTCTGGACAAATGCAGAGACAGAAGGGATATAGTATCATGTTGGCACGCATGAGGTTGAAGATAGTGTTTGTATGTCTGGATAAATGCAGAGACAGAAGGGATATAGTATCATGTTGGCACACGTGAGGTTGAAGATAGTGTTTGTATGTCTGGATAAATGCAGAGACAGAAGGGATATAGTATCATGTTGGCACACGTGAGGTTGAAGATAGTGTTTGTATGTCTGGATAAATGCAGAGACAGAAGGGATATAGTATCATGTTGGCACACGTGAGGTTGAAGATAGTGTTTGTATGTCTGGATAAATGCAGAGACAGAAGGGATATAGTATCATGTTGGCACGCATGAGGTTGAAGATAGTGTTTGTATGTCTGGATAAATGCAGAGACAGAAGGGATATAGTATCATGTTGGCACGCATGAGGTTGAAGATAGTGTTTGTATGTCTGGATAAATGCAGAGACAGAAGGGATATAGTATCATGTTGGCACACGTGAGGTTGAAGATAGTGTTTGTATCTCTGGATAAATGCAGAGACAGAAGGGATATAGTATCATGTTGGCACACGTGAGGTTGAAGATAGTGTTTGTATCTCTGGATAAATGCAGAGACAGAAGGGATATAGTATCATGTTGGCACACGTGAGGTTGAAGATAGTGTTTGTATGTCTGGATAAATGCAGAGACAGAAGAGATATAGTATCATGTTGGCACACGTGAGGTTGAAGATAGTGTTTGTATCTCTGGATAAATGCAGAGACAGAAGGGATATAGTATCATGTTGGCACACATGAGGTTGAAGATAGTGTTTGTATCTCTGGACAAATGCAGAGACAGAAGGGATATAGTATCATGTTGGCACGCATGAGGTTGAAGATAGTGTTTGTATGTCTGGATAAATGCAGAGACAGAAGGGATATAGTATCATGTTGGCACACGTGAGGTTGAAGATAGTGTTTGTATGTCTGGATAAATGCAGAGACAGAAGGGATATAGTATCATGTTGGCACACGTGAGGTTGAAGATAGTGTTTGTATCTCTGGATAAATGCAGAGACAGAAGGGATATAGTATCATGTTGGCACACATGAGGTTGAAGATAGTGTTTGTATCTCTGGACAAATGCAGAGACAGAAGGGATATAGTATCATGTTGGCACGCATGAGGTTGAAGATAGTGTTTGTATGTCTGGATAAATGCAGAGACAGAAGGGATATAGTATCATGTTGGCACACGTGAGGTTGAAGATAGTGTTTGTATGTCTGGATAAATGCAGAGACAGAAGGGATATAGTATCATGTTGGCACGCATGAGGTTGAAGATAGTGTTTGTATGTCTGGATAAATGCAGAGACAGAAGGGATATAGTATCATGTTGGCACAAGTGAGGTTGAAGATAGTGTTTGTATGTCTGGATAAATGCAGAGACAGAAGGGATATAGTATCATGTTGGCACACGTGAGGTTGAAGATAGTGTTTGTATCTCTGGATAAATGCAGAGACAGAAGGGATATAGTATCATGTTGGCACACATGAGGTTGAAGATAGTGTTTGTATCTCTGGATAAATGCAGAGACAGAAGGGATATAGTATCATGTTGGCACACGTGAGGTTGAAGATAGTGTTTGTATCTCTGGATAAATGCAGAGACAGAAGGGATATAGTATCATGTTGGCACACGTGAGGTTGAAGATAGTGTTTGTATCTCTGGATAAATGCAGAGACAGAAGGGATATAGTATCATGTTGGCACACGTGAGGTTGAAGATAGTGTTTGTATCTCTGGACAAATGCAGAGACAGAAGGGATATAGTATCATGTTGGCACGCATGAGGTTGAAGATAGTGTTTGTATGTCTGGATAAATGCAGAGACAGAAGGGATATAGTATCATGTTGGCACACGTGAGGTTGAAGATAGTGTTTGTATGTCTGGATAAATGCAGAGACAGAAGGGATATAGTATCATGTTGGCACGCATGAGGTTGAAGATAGTGTTTGTATGTCTGGATAAATGCAGAGACAGAAGGGATATAGTATCATGTTGGCACACGTGAGGTTGAAGATAGTGTTTGTATGTCTGGATAAA